GTTGAAAAAACTTCGAGAGCAAAAAATTATATTTCGTATCTTGGGGGGAATCCTTTTCCCCTCTTTAGGGAGGGAGGAAAGGGGGGGAAGAACTTCGCTACGCAAACATACATTTGTCAAAATCACGCAGAAATCAGTGAGACATCATCAACGAATGATCGTTTTCTTCCGGCTCGCACGGAAGATGATCGATCGAGATACGGATTAACGTAGCGTGAAAAACGATTATAACCGAATAGCAATTACGGATCACTTCCGATCCGACGATTTCTGTTGATGATATCGTTAGACGTAGATCCGTCAGCCACCTGGCAGAAATTGGCTGCGCGCGTTTTCAACCTTGTACTTTGAAAACTGCGATACACTTCGCCATTGCGCGCAAATTTTATCATGAGACTCGTGTTTCGAGTATTTTGTTCAGAATAAGGTTCGGTTCCATCAATGCGATGTAACAATAACTTACTACTCTTTATCTTTTTGTAATCCTAAGAATTATGTCTGTAAGTTATCTTTAATCTTGATTTAACTTATTTTTTATCTAGTTCTAAAAGTTAAAAAAGGAAAAAGAGTAAATTAAATCGAAATTAAAGTTAATCTATATTGGTAAATGGACATTAGATAAACAGTAAGTAATCGAGTTAATCTTACAGAGGTGGAACCGGACCTTGGACCTTGATGAGAGTTTACTGGCCCAAGCCCAGTAAACGGGAGAACGTTCTTGTTTCCTCGTCGACATATCTCTCGGAACTTATAAATTTTCGTGTTTGGACGAGTCGCAGCTGGTGCGGACCGGTCTCACTGCTATTCGGGACCCTTCTCTATCCGGAAAATTTCCGCTTCCCCTCTTTCTCTCTCCCAGCTTTCTTCCTTCGTCCATCGGTAGCTGCAGCTTTCAAAAGATACGTGACTCTAGGCACACCCAAGATTTCTCGCATATATGCTGTCTAAGAATCTTGAGACTCGTTATCCGATGATGTAGGATATATAATACAGTGCAACGTCCTATGCTTTTGTAAATAGCCGAACAATTGTGCCACGACTGATCACGACTCTATTAAAAAATCAATCAACATTTAATGTCAAATTGAAAATAATATAATCGATGAGTGAGAGAGAGAGAGAGAGAGAGAGAGAGAGAGAGAGAGAGAGAGAGAATTGAAGATGACAATAATATTAACTTTGTTGACGTCATTCCCTTTTTTGCTTTGTAAGCTGACGTAAATAAATTATTCTATTCTATTAACTTTATCAATCTGAGATATCATTTAAAACATTATACAACTTTTTAAATCAAACGTAAAATATAATAATATTACAATGTAATTAAGTAAAATAAAAGACGTAGTTTGAGATAGCTCAAAAAGAAGAAAGAGAACAAAAAAAAACAGGGATATTAAGAGACAGATAATAAAAAGTTTTGATAGTTAACGTTGATCCTCGTTTGCTTTCGTTAAAACTAATAATTTCGAGCCCTTTTGTCGACTGATATTGCCAGAATCAATATAATTTGACAGGATTTTCAATACTTTTAAAAGAGTCTGGTTGCATTAATTGGAATTCTGATTGTAAGTGGAGAAATTTTCTGATTAAACTTATTATAATTGTAGTTGAGATAACCAGAATTCTGATTGATATGATCAAAATTTTCTAGTTCGTTTATTTTTAATCAGAAAATTGTTCTCGGTGTAATTGACCCTTTATTCGCGTTGTTAAACTTTGTCATTAAATTTTGTTTTTTAAATTCTAAATTGAGATGAATTTTTCTGAGATAAAAATACGCAGAAATAAAAATGACACGTTATTTGTTAAAATAATTGTTCGCTGTGCTCGAGGCTGGAGCGCACGCGAGTCTGCAAGCGTAAGCGGACGTTGCGCTGAAAAGCATGCAATTAGAAAATAACCTAAATTCAAGGCGATTCGCGATTCGCGTTAAGAATTATTTCACCAGTCGGTCGAAACGAGGAGAAACTTGAGCTCGGAAGGCGACACGACCAGCAGGGAAATGGCCAATTATTAGAAGGAATTGTGTGGGTCGCACTTAAAGTCACTACTGGTTAGGACAATACGCTTTATGTCTTTCCCTCTTTATCGTCATCATCTATTTCGTCTGAATTAGCACAAGAAAAACGTAACGTTACGTATAAACGCGTCGTTTTCACTCGTTTATTCGACGTGAGAAATTGCCTCGCATCGCGAAGCAAGGACTCGAGATAACGGAGATATTGCGGTATAAATGGTGTATTTGCAATCACATACCGGATATCTATCGTGCATTTATTTATTTATAATGTACCTGATGCCAGGACGTCTCTCTCAATCGCTTTCGATCTGATACCGGACCTTGAAAGGAACGTGAAAAGTATCGACACAGTGACTAGTCGCGATTGAATATTTGAACGGCGATTGACGTCAGACTTGACGTAGGATTTCGCACTCGTATTATGAATAACGCGTCGCGTGTGTAACACCTAGAAAATCATTTCAATAGTCTTCTCCTAATGACAAAGGTAAAACAGTACATCTATTATTTACACAGTCCGTATCGCCATCCGTCGTAAATTAAAATCCGGATGAATCACGATAGAAACACGTGCGTGCGATAAGATTCCTCGAGAAAAGGTGCGTCGCCGATGGTGCTTAGATCCGATTGCTCCGACTTTCTACTTAATTCTAATTTTCGGATAATACGTTAATAGAATATACATATGCTTAGTACAACTTTTTTTTTACACATAAAACAAGCAAATTAGATCGATTTCTTTACTATATTTACGGCAGTTATTACATATAAAAGAATAAGATTGTTATACATATATCATGTATTAACTACACGTATAATTGTTAATTAGATGTTAATTTTTATTTATATCTTTATATTTATTCTTTTTTATCTTTATTGTTACATCTCTATATTTACATCTTTACATACAGAAACGACATGCGTATTTTAGCAGATTTTATTTAATTGCCGATATATATATTTTTTTTTTTAGCAAAACCGTTCTTTCTGTGTATTGTAATGATAATTCTACTAAATTTATATGTGCTCTATACATGTAGTCTATACATATATTTTACTACGTATAGACCTAAAAGCTTCGTTATAGAACGTTTAAACTGGTTAGAATGTTAAAACTTTTTGCAGTATTGACATTAACGTTTAAGCGTTCTACATAATTATTTTTATGATCCAACAAAATTATTTTTAAATCTATATCTAGCTTTTTAGATGCAAAACTGCTCTTTCTTTTTTATATATGTTAAAACATCGACAATATTTATTCTGTTGTCATTCAATAGTCAACATTTGTGCATTGATTATTAAGAATGAGAGTCGAAATTAGTGAATCCTATTTATCATAAATATAAATATTACTTTATATTATTAAGTTATTGCACATTTCATGTGAAATTTTTTAATGAAACTTTTAGAACGAATTGCAGTAATCTTGTTTAACATAAATTTTATTTAATTAAAATTAGCAAATACAACATGCTTTTCTCAATATGTTACGCAAACGCGTTTATATTCTCACTATAAAATCTGAATTTCTGGAAAAGAGCGATGAATTCCTAGAAGACACTTTCGACTAAAATGGTAGAGTTTCATATTACAACTAGTTCAATATTATGACAGTTGTTGCGACGTGGCGACGGTGACGTGTGATCGTGTATCGTCATGAAGCAACATAACGCCACGTATATATTTATATATATTTGTATATGTATTTACTGATGCTAGTCGTCTTATTTATTTCACCCTACTTGAGGAAAAATTGAGGAATAACCACCAACGTAGACCACCAACAGTTATTCCAATCTTTTTTAGGTGAAAAGTTCGCTTTGGTATGCTCTTTGTTAGCAAGCCATTGAGCGGATCGGCAATTGTCGTAGAACCCATTTTTCGTCACACATTACACACACAATCTCGTGTAAAAAAAAAGAATCCCTTTTATCTTGTACAAAAAGTCGAGAAGAGAATTGTAAACTTCCAATCGACATGCTATATTTTTTTAGTTTATGGGACCCATTTGTCTAACTTTTCCATTTTCTCAATGACTCGCACGTGACGAGAAACAATTGAATAATGCACACTTAGACTCGTATTCATAGTCAGACCTTACATTTAAGGCTTTCTTAAATTTATCTTCAGATCTTCTACGAATTATTTCATTGGCTACTGAGCATCTAAAGATAAATTTAAGGAAGTCTTAAGTACAAGGTCTGACTATGAATATGGGCATTAGTTTTTCTGCGATATCTCATACAGTTTGACGTGTATCGGCTATTTCGCTGAAGTCTACGACTCATCGCTGTCAGTGACTTCTTGAGATTGATTCGTTTTCAAGGCTTATCTTTCGATCGAAATTTTTCAAACCAACACATGCATTACTCGTTCGTTAACTGTGTCTTTTGCGAACCGCATTGATGTCGCATATTCGGTACGATGGAATTAGATAAGTGTTATGTATGATATGACAGTAGGACCAATAAAAAAAAATCGTCTCTAAATGCACGATCAATAAAAAATCGAGGACAAAAGGTCCTAAATGCAAGCGTCATTACTTTGCACATCTTCGGGAATACAACGCCTTGTCTATTTCTATCATAATATTCGATTATATCGTATTCAAGTTGAACCTAACTGGGAAAAATTACATTTTTTTATTGATGTATTTCTCTGCCTGTTTCCCCTCCTCCTCCTCCTCCTCTCTCTCTCTCTCTCTCTCTCTCTCACTTTCTTTCTAAAAAAAGAACCCATGCAAAACTATTGTAATACTATTATAATACGATGATAAAGCGACAGCAAGCGATCGAATCGAAAAGAGCGCACTTTACGTTGAAAAGCGAATCCAACCACGGCCCAACAGCCGTCCCATCCTGCCTGTCATCAGGCCTGGTGGGCCCGGTGGGGCCTGGTGGGGTTCGTTAGATCCCGAAGTCTTCACCCGAGATAAAACACATTATAAACGGCCGCCCGGACGGGTATCTGGTTTCAGGGAAGCGGCGGCACGTGCGCCGGAGTTCGGGCCCAGGTGGTGTCGCCCGTGTTGCCGAGGAAACGCAAGAAGGAGAGGTCAACGATAGGGGATGCCGCGAGGCGAGCGAGATATCAGTCGAGGAGATTAGCTCGACGGTAGCGAGGAGCAAAGTTCCCTGCGACGACAGCGGGGTCGCCGGTCGCCACTATCATTCGCCGCCTTACCTCTGTCACCGTCATTATCGTAGTCATCGTCATTCATCGTCGCGTCAACGATACCACCATCGAAGGGACATCGATGACGTGGGCAGCGACGGCGATTGCAACGATAGCGGCGACGACGATAGTGGCGATGACGACAGGAACGAGGCCATCGAGAACGATGAGAATGACGACGATGACGATGACGATAACGGCGAAGAGGAGGAGGACGATAAGATGTGCCTCGACCGTCTCCATCCTCGTCTTCATCGATTCTATGATCGGCGATCTCGCGGAAGCGGCGACGTTGACGCCGAAGTCGGGGTCCATCGAACCGAGACGACTATCGTCCATCCTCTCGCACGAACCTCGCCTATCGCGACCACCGCCGTCGCTAACCCCTCTGTCGTCACTGCCATGGCGAGAGGATGCAAAATTCCGCCTTACCTCACGACTATACTACTTCTTTCCTACACTCTCTTCGGTATAGCAGGTTGGTATCAGCACCCATTGTACTCGACTCTGTACTGTATCGTTTAGCAGCTTAAAGGAACAAATTATAAATTTTACAGAGTATCCTTAAATTGTGTTTATACTCCTTATTTGCATTTATAAGCCACGTTACAATTTGGCGGTCGCTATATTATTGGGAACAACGAACAAGAGAAGAAAGAGAGAAACGCCCATGGAAATAGCGTGTACTTAAGGAGGATAAATTATCGTTTCGTATTACACGGTGAATCAGTCGCCCGTGTTGCGTTCTTCGCCACTTGTTACGCTCGTTGCGCCACAATCTTACAATCTGTCTTTTTGTCTCTCTCTCTCTCTTTCTCTCCTTTTTTTCTTTTTTTTCGTTATTTGCGGACAAGGCAGACAAAAGTACTGCCGTACAGAATATTTCCGTGCCGAACGGAGCCTTCGCCCTCGCGCGACAAAGCGCTCATTTTATGCGCGACTTATGCCAGACGATACGAGCAAATGTGTGTAATGTAATAGTACTCGCGCGTCACGTTGCACCTGGTCCCGACGTAAAACCGTCGAGATAATCGACGTGGAGTATCGTTATCCGTTTCCCTGTTCCTCACGCCTCGCTCGCGTCACGCTGCAATTACAAAGGCCAACTTTTGGCGTATGCCTGTCAAACACGCTTATCTGCCCCGCTCACATCTGCATTCAGTCTCTATCTCTTATGCCCAATTTCTTCATTTTCAGATAAGTTGCGGATAACTTTATCCAGGAGGTATCTCCATTGTAATCTGAGAGATATCTCCTGGATAAAGTTACTTAGAGGTGAAGAAATTGGGCGTTGCCGCAAAGATGAAGCGACTGTGACAAATTTGAATAACAACGAGATGTAATGAGATATTTCAATCGTAAACTCAAAGATTACTTTTAGCTGTGAAATCTTAACTACGAGTAAAGTTGAAATGATAAGAACGGTAGAAAGAGAGACAGAGACCGCCCGCGAGTTTCTCGTAAGGGAAAGATAAAACGCCGCGCCTGCTCGATAAACTGGAGCGTACGGAGCGTGAAGCGTTGTTGGGGTATGGAAACGGCAGATTGTAAAATTACAACAGGTGACGGACAGCAGCCACGCGCGGGACAGATGCAACCATCGCCGCCTTAGCTGTACTTTGCAGCTTTGTGTACAGTCTCGCGCCTGCGAGATGCACGCGCTCTCATCCCCCTCCGCCCCCTCCTGCCTCGCTTCACCTCACTTCATCTCACTTCATCTCACCTCGTCTCACCTCACCTCTCTCCTCTCCTCTCCTCTCCTCTCCTCTCCTCTCTCACTTCTCCTCTCCTCGCCTTTTCGCTAGGGTGGCCACCGCTGCCGGTGCCGCTGCCGCGTGCGTAGATGTTTGGAAAAAAGCGAGGGTGTGAGTAGAAGAGCGAGGAAGAAGCACGACCCCATCCATTGTGTTCAACGAACCTGGAAAAACCGACAAAATTCCTGAAGCGCCTTAGTAGCTTATTCGGTTATTCACTCGCGCTCTCTCTCATCTCGATAATGGGACCAAATGCTTCTATAGGATCACCAGTCGTTAAAATTATCTCCGATATAACTGATTATCTACCACGGGGTGCGAAATTTGTCTATACTAATAATAATAGTAATGGAAAAAATAAGAACTGTAATATAATTACTTTTGTAATGGGCAAATCTAAAATTGTTAAACTTGAAATCTTCTCTGGTGAAACTAATTTATTGGCATGCGCGAAAAAATAAAAGCGATACCCATGACGTGTAATGTAAAAGTATCTAATGATTGTTGTATGTTTTATTGACAGACGCTTGCTCGTCACGTTCAACGCCAAAACCGAGGCCGCCGACGCCAACGGATCGGCCGAATATCACATTCCACATGTACACGTGTCCACCGGATTACGCAGAGTGGTATTGTTTGAATGGCGCCACGTGTTTCACCGTAAAAATTGTCGACTCTCTTCTATACAACTGTCTGTAAGTACGAGTCTATCTTTTTTGAAACTAGGTTTCAAAGCCCCAGTACCACTAACCGTCAATTCGGACAATGAACTCGGGCGAAAATTCCATCCGCGGATTTTCTACGAGTTGAAATTTTCGCGGACTATGGCACGACAAACGGAATCCTGGAAAATCTCTCGACATTTATGCGAGAACGCGTACAGGAGTATTGTGACTCCGCTCTCCATCGGGCGCCTTACTGTGCGACGCGGCCACGAACAATCGTGGCGGTTCCGGGCGAAAGAACCACCCAGAGGGAAAGACGGCATCACGGCACCATTCGCGTCGTATACCCGTTAATCTGTGACTACGCGACCTGGGCACGTACGCTGAAATTCCTGTCGATTCGTGTTCGGCTGACATTTTTCCCAAACTACCAGCATTTTTTTTTTACTAGCTCTATCGACGTTTTCTCTTGATGTTTTTTTTCTCTTTTCATGTACGATAATTATCATTTAATAACGATTCGATGCATTTGCGAAATTAATGCTGAAAGCATAAGCGTCGAGCGAAGTTGAATTTAAATATCGCGAGAAGGGAAAAAAAGATCTATCGAATAATTGGATTAACATCGGAATAGCATCGAGGAGTGCAGAGCACATCGTGCTCACTCAACCTTACTATTTCCCACGGTGTTTGCTTTGTCGACCGCGATCTGCCGTTTGAATCGAATCGTTCGTCTCTCATCTCGCGCTTGTCGCGTTCGATTTGAATTAATCTAACAATCACATTTTCTCGAATTTTAAAGTATCGTGTAGCAGATTTTGTCAAAAGCAATCTAATAATAAAAGGAGCTTGTAACCCACGAACGTTGACATCAATGAGGGATTGTGATATAACTCTATAAGTGAATACTCAAGAACTTCTACACTAAATTCTATGCTAAATAATTGCAATTGATTGCTTACAAGTATAAATGAAAATTGAATAAAAGCGAAAAGAAACTTATATTGCGAGAGATATTAGTTGACAAAATCGTGATAAATTGAAAACAAGAATAAGAGAAATAATTGTCAGATTTTATTTCTTTGAAAATTTGGTTGTATTGTATTGTTTTGTGAATACGCTTCGTTTGAACTTTACACAAAGTTAATGTTTCAACATGTTATTTATTGTTAGAAAAAAGTTGTGCAGATTAATTGTGTTTATCGCATTTGACATAAGTTTAACAATGCAACAAAATAAAATGTATTTTCGGCACATTATGTTTTACTGTTACTATAAGGATGATACCGCAAACAAACCAAAAAGAAATGTGCGATGTATAGTTGAGTATAGAGATGCTGTAAACTGGAGCATAAATATTCAGCGTTAATTTTGATTTAAAGTGCATCTTTTCATGTAAAAAATTTCTCTGTCGAAAACGTTCTGGAAAACTAATTAAAATTAATGATTACATCAAGATAGTGATGGAAAATAATGTACATCAAATAATTTGACAATTGAAACTAAATACGTAAAAGGATATATGTTAAATATTACAAAAAATTTGATCGTTAAACGTGGACGGAGAATATTGAAGTTAAGAAGTGATACAGAATTATTAAATTGTTAGAAATTTTTAAATATGTACCATTATTCGGGATATATGGTATCTATATTTATTTATTCAAATCTTAAATATAACACTGATGTAAATATTCACAATTTTCTTTCAATTTTATTCAATTAATTGTACTGTTTGGCGAAGATTAAGTTATGAATACTATTTAGCAAAATTGATTATGGAAATTTGTTTAATTATCACATAATCACACGCTTGGTAAATCATTTCAATTAACGATTCTTTTAACATTTTATAATTAAGTCTAATTTAGGTTTGTAATTAAGTCCAATTAAATTTTCACTAATTGACTTTTCGATATGAATACATTTATCTGATTAATAACGGCAGCAAAAACAATTAGGACTTAAAGAGTATTCTGTGTTACCTTCTTATTATTCAAATTACAAAAGAAAAAAGGCACACGAACCATCCATTCGTGATATTTCGATAACTTTAATTAATATAATTACCTGTAATATTTTGCTTCGCAGATGCGCCAATGGATATATCGGACAAAGATGCGAGTTTAAAGATTTAGATGGTTCCTATTTACGTAAGTAGATTTGCCGTTCTCGAAGGATTTTATTGATAACTTTGGCAACGCGATACTAAAACAGTTTTCGAAAGTACTTTGACAGTGAAATAGAGATCAAATTTTGCTATGAGTTTTTAGTCAAAACTAAAATAATGTGTATAATGCGGTGCATGTAAAAAAGATAAAATAAATTAACTTAATTAATTTATTAAGATTATTAATTCAATTTATTGTACAATATATTACTGACAGACTCAAATTCTAGACAAAAATATCACACTTTTTATCGTATATTTAACAACATTTGTAGTTTGAAAACTAAAATCTAACGCTCTGAACTTTCTTTTTTGTTACCAAAATATAATCAAAGTAAATAAAATTATTAAATCACATCATAGGTATTAGAATATCGTGTTTTATTTCTCTTCCGAATATATTATTTAACAAGGTGGAAATAAAAATGACTTTTTTATAGCTTCACGGCAACGAGTAATGTTGGAGACAGCCAGCATCGCCGGTGGTGCCACAATAGCAGTATTCCTCGTCGTTATCATTTGTATAACGGCTTATATCCATTGTAAGCGAAAACAGAAGGAATTACGGTCGAGGTAATTAATAGTCCATTATTTATTATCGTTATTTTAGTTATAGCAGAACTCGATCACAATTTTGACTTCTCGAAGGAATTCATAACCCTTTATTGTGGTACAGATTCAGACTCATAGTAAATATTACATTCGGCTTTTTTTCTTTTCATTGCAGCAATAACTGCGTCGATACGGTGGATGGTCCTGGCCGAGATCCGGAGCTGAGGCCGTTTAGCAACCGCAGCCGCTCTCTTATGATCTTCATGGCCAAGAATTCTAACAACTCGGTAAGATAAAGCTTGTGTGTGTCACGTGGCTCTATCTAAATATTAATGTCGACTAGATGCGAAATGCAGATTCCGATAATTCGCGACAATCAATAATAATAATATATCATTCGAAATGTTTTTTCTTAGGCGACGATAGAACAAACGAGAATGCCCAACTGGAATTGTCCAGAAACGGAATCGATGAGGATGGCACCCATCAGCGAGAATAAGCCCTCAAGCCAATAGCGAACTACGTGACGCGTCGTCCATATACAACGTTTTGCCGCAAGGATTCGTTATCGACGACACTCGAGACGTACAAAAGATCGTCGAATAAACTACTCGATTAGTTGAAGGTAGTTTTAAATATCTCGAGACAGCAGCGGCCTTTAGTAGCCTTTATTAGCGAACTTGTTGGGAATAATTCCATTATTTGATTCAGCGAGTGATTGACCATCCTAACGCGGTGCTGAATAAACGAACACAAATCAAGTACGATTTCTAAGCTGATGACACGTACCGGCACGACGATATCGGCTCTTTTTCGATTATTATATCGTAATATCAAGACATTCCCGTATTGTCGTATACATGTCCTCCGTTTGATCGAAGGGACGTTTAATGCTCGTCGATTATCGTGTATTCCTTCTAACGAACATCTCGATGGACGATTCACGAAGAATCTTACGTCCAAAAGTTTAAAAATGGAACAGGACTTCGCATGAATAACGTGACGTTCGAGGACGAAACATTTCCGTAGATTCTTCTGTGAAAGTGACAGATTCGCGACCATTGAATGTTGGTTTTTATGCAAACGTTTGTATAGTATCGCGTCTTATTGTCATCACTCATCAACGAATAAAAAAGAAAGAAAAACATTACATGCATCACACACACGCACGCATACGCGCGCGCGCGCACACACACACACAAAAACACGCGCACACGCACGCACACACACAATTACAAAAGTAGTGCCTTTCTACTCTCGTTTGTAAGAAAGCAAATAGTTGTGGTACACCTGATCAAGAAAGATCAAATAAGAAAGAGAGAAAGAAAATGGTCTATTTCTCTCATTAAAATTAGCGATGAGCGTCGTCCAATTGCTAACCGTGTTACGAGCGCAGGACGCTGATACACGCTAGTGACAAAATCTTGTAAAACACGAAATCAATAACTGTAAAGCGCTGATAGTAGACAAGGTAAAGCCTTTGATCCTTGGTACGTATGCTACTTATACTCAATCCTAACTTTGTTATTCGTAAAAGACTTTAATCTGATATATCTTCGGATATATATGATGATATATAAACATAAATACGTTCTATAATAGCTCATATTCTTGTCGCAGAGGTCTAATACGTTGCGATTAGATCTAGTAACTTGCATTATACTTTCACTAGGCTCTTCCAAAGAATGTTCGTGAACGCGATGGAACGTACTATTAGTATCAAAGGGTTAATGAACATATGTGTCTTACGTAGAAGTATCTAAGATTTAAATCTAGATTAAATCCGATGTCTTACCAGAAAGCAATAGTTCCCTAAGCACATGTGAAATACATTTTGCCGCTAATAATAGAGATGCTATTTATTACTAATCGGTTAGAAAGTCTATTGACGTCAGATCGCCATCCGGCGTTGTACTGTTATATATTGACAAATATTTTCTCAAGACGTTTTGCTCCTGTAACGCGAAATATCGTTTACCAAATCTTAGGCACACAAAAATGACGTACTTATAGTGAATTAATTTTTGTTTCCATATCTGTAACTACATGCGGTAAAATTAAAAAGAACGGAATTAAAAGCGCCGTTAGCTATTATTACAAGATAAAGCAACAAATACGGTAGAATAATAAATTCAATGACTTTGTAAGCGCAGATCATAATTTGCTAATTTCACGAAAAACTGCGACTAAATAATACTTCATCTGTTTGCATAGATGAGAGTTGAATATGAAATTTAAAAAAATTTCTAATACTTTTCGTCCTATTTATCTTGATTTCAAAACAATGGAATGAATACTGAATGATATACGCATATATAGCATTTCAGATATTAATTTCGAATATCATTTCTCATTAATATTCATCACATACGTAAAATAAAAGGTAACATGCCGGCATTGTTAAATTGTTTCATAAAATCAAGAAAACTGCTATGTTTAATATTAAATTATATTGATCATGCATCGTTCTCTCTTGTTTCGTTATTTATTTATTTAGATAAAAGGCTCAGTCTCCGATTATATGCACAATTGCTACCACATTTATAATTTTTTTTTTTTTGCATCACTTCTCTACTCAAAATCTTTCCAACTTTCAGATTGCTGGTTTATAGTTTACGTAGCATTAAAAACGTTATGTTAACAATGCAATAGAGTGGAATTGATATGTATATTTGGAGATATTTCATCGCGTATAGAAAGTTGGGCCTTCTTGTCATTTTGTCTCAGCTTCTTGTAAATAGTAAATTATTTTACGTTAAATATATCCCGGGTCGTAAGCTATATTAATTATAAAAAGCAACGTTTTCGCCACATTGTATTACTACGTTCCATCAGCCTGATACCTCATCGTACCATGATGCACTGCGCTTAAAAAAAAACCGAAATGCATATTTTTATAATTATATAATTTGTTAAAAGAACATACCTAACGGAGTGACAGAACAGGTACTGAAGACATTGAACGACGATTCGATAGTAATTTGTATATTTGTAGATACTCTCGAGTATATAAAAAAGGAAAGCTTCCAAACATTTTGTTTCACCTTTTTCATATTAATCACTCACCCGTCGCTCGTCGCTTAAAACACGTTAATAGTTATGACAACAAACGGCTTTCTCTATTCAAACTACTCAAGATTTCTGCTTAATACAAAAAGATAGAGCTAAAGAGAAAGAGAAAAAAAGCTTAATGTAAGAATCGAAAGCGTGGCCTAAACATTTATAAAAGCGAATATACAAATGGTATTTTTATTATTTATAAATAGTCCTCATTAACAAAATGTATTCTAATTTAATTTCCCATATTTCATATTGTACGTGGTTCCTAATTTATTATTACTATATATATTATATAATATATAATAATAATAATAATATGTATACTATTATTATTATTATTATCATTAACTAATGTAATTAATTATGACTATTTGTTTACTATTAGAAATTATTCTTATTATTTCAATAAAACTATTTAATAAGAACTTGTTTGTGAAAAGGAATGTATGAAATACACAGTATCGAAACGAGTGCTGAGAATAGAATGTGTGATTGTGTGCATTGTGTCACATCCAAATCCAGAATGCGTATTTAATGCAGATCTATCGAATGGTATGAAAGAAAAAAATGGCCTTTGCTTTTAATTTTAAGATACTATTTCTAAAGAATTTATTAATAAAGTGTTCGCTGTAATCTTGGAACTAGTACTTCTGTTGTATACATGTATAGCTAAATAGTAAAATTGTCACTTGTCTTATATTTTAAACATTAATATGTTTTCTTTTGTTTCCAAATCAAACGATAATATTAATTGTTCCATATTGTATAAACATAAATGTTTATACACAACAAAATTATTGCTGGAACATTAGCGTATGACCTTGTAATTGAAGATAATCTACGTGGAGATTTCGATAAGTTTAAGACCTTTCTCTTTCATGTCATTCGATGATTAACTAGTATTTCCACATTTAATCTAACGCTTTTCCCTGACTCGGCCGAATCCAAGCCAATCAAACGAGAGCCTTATTACGATTTGTATCTTGTAAATTGTCGTCGTCAAAGATGATAACTGAAGCAACTATGATAACCAGCTTTGAGAGAGTAATAATTTATGGTACAATTAATGTATCACGCAGATGACATTTTATTACATCAGATAACGTCGCGTATCGTATTCCGTGCGAATACAGACAAATATAAAATAACGACACCAAAATGTCATCCAAAAACATGATACAAATGCGGTTTCCTTCGCACCATCGATAATTATCTCTTACTATATAGTTGAAGTAAATAGCATTATTTAAATTATATCATGTTGAGTTAATTGTAATTTTAGATGTATGAAATAACACTATTAAACGATGTCATGCGGTTTCTTGTAGCCAAACGAAAGATATACACCGATCAAAATTAGTTTACTCAAAATTAATAATTAATATTCTATGGTTTCTATAAGTGCGGATTTTTAATTTCAAAAAAATTGACCATTTTCGATTCAATATATCATAAAATAACATTATATGTGACATATATTTTCTCTATTGTTCCAAATTTGATTTTTTGCCGATTTTCATATAGTATATCATAGTTAGGATTTTAGCGCACAACTCCGTGAAATCGCTAAAATAAAAATCAGAATAAACAATATTTTACGAAACCTCATTCAATTTGCAACAATATTGTGTGATATCGCTCGTTGATCAATTAGTTATAACGATTAGTCAATATCAAAGCAATAATATTGACCGATGCTTACGGCCATTAATTCTTTATTCTGTTAGATGATACTATCTTATTCGAAATTCACGAATTTCCAAATCTTTATTCCGCGTCACTCTCCGATGGCTGGTTCTTAGAAATGACAATCTTTATGCTCGTTCCTGCGGGTATTTTATGACGATGGATAATAGTGGATACTCTCATCCAATATACCAAACTTGTATAATTGCTATCTGACATTAACATACCAAAGATATCAGTTAATTTGGAAACTGCTAAGAATTAATCTGAAAGTTGCTAAACGGCATTTTAACAAAAGTAAAAAGAGAGATATTATCGATCGGCAATGTTGCATCAAAACATTGTTATTATTTTTGTAAAGAAACCTTGTACATGTACTAACTTAGCGTGCTCTATGAATGAAAACTTACGATATGTTAAATATTATCTATTATTATTATTATTATATATTATTATTGCTACTATAATTACTTTTATCATTATTATATTAAAATAAAAACTATAAAATCTCTCTTGTTTGGAAATTTTTGAGCAGCGTGATCGATGTTTGACGCGATTTTTTTATTCATTTTATTACATCTTATTTTTTTATTGATATTCTAATATATATACACATCCAGCGACATTCTTGTGATATATATTTCGAATAATATTACAAAGTAAAATAATATCAATTGGACCGATTTACTGTTAACATTTGTTCTACAATGCTATCTCAGAAATGCAATTTAATTCAATGTGTTGCTCATAAAATAGATCGAAGTGTTATAATCGTACAAATATCTCATTTTGTTTCACTGGATAATATTGTATTTAAGGAATATAAAATGTATTCAATTTTGGTCAAATCCGACAGTAGACATTGGTGCCTACAAAATAGTTATTTATAATTCTTTATCATAACCTCATTGATTTTAATTATGTTTTTATTCATCTCTTTAAATTATTATTTAGCTTGGCCACACAATATATAGATATATTATTTTCAAACCTTTCGAATTTTTAAATGAAAATCAGAAAGTAATTATTTTTGAGATATTTAACAGAGGAATGTGAAAAGTAATAAACGATATAAGAGGTGTAATTTTATAATATTTATATATTTTTACAAGAGAAAATATCAATTTGTTCTAAATCAAGAGAAAACATTTTAATATTTTATAATAAAATAAAATGTAATTTTCTCCTATAAATACTAGAACTAAAAAACGATTTTTTAACAACGTGCAGAATTTAACAGAGTTTAAGAGCGAAAATTAATCCACATTTTAAAAACATATATTCTAATATGTGTGAATTAATAGAAAAATTAAATAATTTATATCAGATAAACATAGCAAGCAAGGTGACAACTGTGAAATAAAGCTACATATTATATCATCAAATATAAACTATAATTACAACTTCGCTAAAACCAAACAATAATTGGATGCATCTCAAATTTTAAATATTAAATGTTATGTTCGTAATCAACACATTATTTCTTATTATAATTCTGCTTAATTAAAAATTATGTGAGTTGTTAGCATTGAGTTGTTGATTACACAAAGATTGAATGACAAATTACACTTACTTATTTTCATCAACGTTTCACGTTTTACTTTGAATAAGTTTAATATTTTTTTTCTGTAAATATTCTTTCCAAAAATTTGAAGTACGTAAATGAAAGAACGTCTGCAATTGTGTGTCGACAATTGGTCTTAAAGATTTACTCGGCGTCCATTTTATTACAGGCCACGATATAACGTCGAATTTATGTCTGGAAAGGCTGAGCAACGCAGATATTATGCCTTCTTGTTGATCGTGTGAACCTGTTTAAAAATTAATCAGTTATTATAAATTATATATGTATAGTGTGTATATAAAAATATGTTATTGGTGTATTGAAAATTAGTTTTCCATACACACAAAATGAATGTACTACCTTGGCCAGATTGGATGAGGACACAGAGCTGTTCAGAGATCTCGTGCACAATTTGATCATTATCTTTTACTGGGAATGCGCGCAAAAGCCTTCCTGTAAGTGCATAATATAATATCGGATACATTAGTATTCCTTCAAAAATATAATACAATAAATTTAAAAAATAAATTTACCGAGTAAAGAAAATGCACTATATATGCAGGGATGTTGATTGCTTATAATCATTGGCAGTAGAACAGATTCAATAATATTTTTATATGTCCATTGTGCCTTTTCTCGTTTTGCAAGAAGTATAATGGCTGTATCCAAACCCTCGATCCGTTTAGCTAAAAAAAATATAATTTGCAATTAATTAATATAATTCGTAGAAAAAAAACATGATGCGGAAAATGTATTTACCTTTAAGAGCAGTCATAAGTTCCTTAACAATATCATTTACTGTTTCGTTAGTATAATTATGACATCTCGATACCAATGATTTTAAATGCTTTAATTTCTTTAATATTCGGTCCTTATCAGTATTAATATGTAGTGAGCTGATAAGAAAAGCTATGCATTTTGATAATATTTCTGAAAGAATTAAACAATATACATTTATAAACATGAACGATGCAATTTTGTGCACGATTTCAATGATTAAAGCTGAAGTCATTCATCACTGTGTCAGTGATGCATCGAATTTATACCAGCACGTTAATATTGTATTTAAAACGGCTATTGATTTAAGATTCATACAATAGAGAGCACTGCAACACATTATGCGTATTTTTTCTCTATCCTTCTGAATACGTGACAGGACGACATATATCCGTGTCAGCGAATCAATTGGGTCCTACATACGTAAAAGTATTAGTAATTTAAAACTGAAAAGTGTTGCTATTATAATGTGATTTAAATTGTTATATTCTATTATAGATAAATAAAATATACCTTCACATCACTATTAAGTCTAAACATATGAAATTCGATGGCGGCTTGTACGAAATAAATCATCATTGGTTTCGATGCTTCCAAATCGAATAATAACGTTATGATCTTCTGTTCAAATTTCGTCATCAATGGTGCTGGGGGAGTAAATGATTTATCTAAAGCTTCTGTATGATCAACTTCTTCTATTATAAACTCTACTATGCATCTAAAATGGACGCAAAAGAAATATTATTTCCCTCTTTTTATTCATTTAACATGCAAACTTCTAACTTTATAATATACACATTGCTTTATTTTAATCAATGCTTTAATATTTCTATAGTTAAACAAGATAAATGTTGAATTACTGTTTTTTTGAGAACTAACTGTTTGCTATATACTGCTGCATTAATATAATGAAATAATACCTTTAATATATGTTTAATCTGACATTTTTACATATTTAAAAATCGCAAAATGTGTATACTAACTTGGCTATGATACGAGGTCCGCAAATATTTTCCAATTTTACTTTTATGTCGTCATGTATAGAATCATATATAGAATCTTTCCAATCACTGTTCATAAGTCGTTGTAGTTGCTTCTTTACAAATTTGTCTAAAACATATGTGACATGTAGAATTAAATTAATAATTTTGTTTAATAATTAAAAGGATAGTATATTTTAAGAGAGAAAGCATTTAAAAACTAAGAGTTTTTTTAAACTTCTTTGAGAAAAAATATATTTTGATCTTTTTATAAAATTTTATTCATGTTTTATCAATTACTGAACCTGGAATATAGATTATTAGATATAAATATAATTGTTTTTTTATACATTTTAAAAGTTATATCTTGAAATCATATTTTTGTTAAATACCTGTTATTTTACAAGCGTATTCTATTTCTTTACGTGATTTATGTTTTTTGGTACATTTCTTTTTGTTAATATATTTATATAATCGTGACATTGGCGTCTGAGATTCCTCGAAATTATGAGGGACAAAGATAAGTTCCATTTTTTTATTTCGTTGATTCATTTTTTTATTTTGAGTTTCGATGGCCTGTATCTTAATTGCTTTATTATTAACACAAGTTTCTTCTTGTATATTTCTTGCATTTTTCATTTCATTGATATCTCTCGGTGACGGTGAACGTGGAACTGCAATAGTTCCGCCAGATATTTCGCTATTATTGTGATCTTCACTTCGCGTTACTTCCACGTTTGATCGATCAGATAGAACCGATGATTCATCATTTAAAATCACATCCTTTGGTATATTGTGATCGTTGTGACTCTTATTTCCAAATGTCTCAGAAGTATGTTCCAATTCAGCGGTTGACATCTCTTTTTCAGTTTTAATCGTATCCAATGCTTCATTAACTTTGTCATGTTTTAAGTCTTTATATACAGAGCGGGTAATAACACGTGTTCTTAATAAAATTGATTTTTCAAGTTCTAAATTATTCGCTGTATCGTTTACAATATTATTATGTACTACATTCAACTCGTTACTATTGTTCAAAGTCTCTCCTATTACTCTATCCATTGAGATATTTCTGTTGATTGTATCTTCAATGACGTCATCACATTTCGCAAGCTCAGAAACATATTCAATATTAATAGCAGATGGAGTGATATCGTTATTTTGAAGAGAATTTTCAGCATTCGTCAAATTTAAATCTTTTTCGTTTACAGGTCTTTCGTCAATACTACTTATTTCGATAGACTTGACAACGTTTTCCTCATCACGTTTCTTATTCGTTATAGGATTCTTCTTGCTTTCAATTAATGAATTATCTTTGTGAGTATTTAATTGTTGATTTACATTATTTTTTTGTCGAATCGCTGAAGTAGTTAAAATAGCTATATTTCTTATCGTACAATGTGTAGAATTATTTCTATTGATGCTCAATTGATGAACTGGCGTTTTTGGAGTATGTGCGATTCGTATTTTTTTCGGTTCATAATGATTAGAGCATAATTTATCGTCTGTTTGTTTATTTATAGACTCTGCTGGTGTATCTACATTTCTTTTCAAATTTTTAATATGATTTAACGAACTGTCGTTAATCTCTTCTTCATTTTCAATTCGCGATTTTTTTGCTAATTCAAGATTTTCAATATTATGATCTGAATATAGTTCAATATTCTCTTGTTTATTTATGCACGAAATTGGTTGCTTCTTTCTTTTTAAATTTCGAAGATTCTTTAATAAACGATCGCCAATTTTAGCTTTCTGTATATTTTGACCTTTTCTTATTATATTACGTTTTTCTACATTAATAACACTTTTACTATGAGCAAGATCAGTGGAATTTTCATTGTTAAATAAGGATGCCATTCTAGTTTTTGTCTGGCTATCCATATCAACAGCTTCTATATTATCTTGGCTTAAGATTTTACCGCTTGTGTTTATTTTATCAATCTCATCTTTGTATATATTTTGGCCCTTTCCTTTTATTTCAATTTTATCTGCATTAATATCAACAATTTTGCCAACAGTAGAATTTTTATTGTTAGATAATAATATTGTTCTAGTTTCTGTCTGGTTATCCGTATCAGTAGTTTCTACATTACTTTTGCTCAAAAGATTATCACTTGCATGTATTTCGTTAATCTTATCTTCATTTATATTTTGGTCCTTTGTTTTTATTTTATTTTCTTCTGCATTCACGTCGATAATTTTTCTATAAGCATGATGAATGGAATTTGTATCATCAGATAAGAATATTGTTTTAGCTTCTATCCGATTATTCATATCAATAGCTTTTACATTATTTTTACCGAAAAGATCATTGCTTGCATATATTTCGCTAATCTTATCGTTATGCGTACTTTGACTCTTTCTTTTCATTTCACTTTCTGTATTAATATCAACAATTTTACTATTATCAAAATTTTCAGTGTTAGATATATTTCTAGTTTCTGTCTGGATATTAATAGCTTTAATAGTATTATTACTTAAGAGATCATCGCTTATGTATATTTCGTCAACCTGATTTTTATGTACACTTTGGTTCTTTCTTTCTATTTTATTTTCCTCTACATTAATGTCGACAGTTTTATCATTAGTATAATCAGAAAAATCTTCATCTTTAAATAAGGATATCATTCCGATTTTCTGGTTATCCATATCGATATCGTTTATATTATCTTTACTTGAGATATTATCATTTGCACATATTTCGCTAGACTTATCTTTATGTATAATTTCATTTTTTGTTTTTATTTTATTTTCCTCTGTATTAATGTCGACAGTTTTTCCATCAGCATGATCCGAAGATTTTTTATCGTTAGATAAGGACATCGTTTCCGTTTGATAACGACATCCAGTTTCAGTTTGATTATCTACATCGTTAGCGTCTACATTATCTTTGTTTAAGATATCATTGCTTACGTATAATTTGTCAACGCTTAACCGTGACGTCGTTAAATTATCTTCAACAGATGCTACTTCTAATGAATGCAATGTATTTTGTTTAGGAAGAAACTCTTTGTCGATTTCAATGTCATTAAGAGATGTGCTGGATATATTTATATTGGAGTATGAATTATTCTTATGTACACTCGATAATATATTCTTAGATGTATGATTAAATTGTAAAATATCAGTAATCTTCGTAGCATTCTCGGTTTTATCACAACATGTATCTCGTACTCGTTCATTTTCATCGAAATTTTCAATTTTCGAAAACATGCTTTCATATGCATTACACGACTGTCTCTTTTTCAGCTCTGTCCTTTTTGAGCAACAAATACACATTTCCGAATCGATATCTAGCTCATTTTTAGAACATGTTTCTTTTTTCTCATTGAAATATTCTGCCACACCTTTACAGATTGAAGAAATTAGATTCGAATTTAGCGAGATATCATCCTTATGATTCATAACGCAACGACAACGAGAATTAGTATCTATTTTTTCCTTTAGTCTTCGAAACTTTTTCATTTTACTTTTTAATGATCGAATTTTTCTTTTCATTTTTTTAAGAGATATAGAGTGTTTGATTAGTAAATCATCAGAGCAGAAATGCTCCCTTGCACAGTTCCTATTTTGAGACAAGGTAGGAATTGCATTGAAATTACTGGGTATATTGGCTACAAATGGTCTATGTGAAATATCCGTATTTCTTAATTCAACATTTTCGCAGATTTGTGTCATTGTGGATGATCTTCCCGATTTTATATTGCCTGCTATTGAATCACTACATGGGCTGTAAGGACGTAAATGAGGTATAGGTGATATTTTAGAGAGAGAGTCTTCATTTCTATTTGTAAAACCAGGGTAGGTACCTAAAAATTAAAAATAGATTTAAACATAATAAATATAATAATATAATAATATAATAATATAATGTAATATAAATATATTATATACAATAAAAGAATATATATAATTATATATATATATAACGCATATGACATTGCATTAGTTACTATTACTTACTAGATAATGAACACGGCGGCGAATAAATCTTTTTCGGTGAAGGAGGCAAATCTTTCTCAATTAATTTTGGACATGCGACCATGGTTTTGAATATTTTTTCAGGAGTCAACTCTGGGGACAAATGAGCTTCACATTTTGCACAAAACAATGGATGTGGGTCATTTTTCATGTGATAAAATTCGTCAGTCATAATATTTTGATCTCGTACTTCGCATTTTACGCTTGATTCAATATTACATAGTGATACATTAATACCAATATCTGAAGTAGATTTTATACCTATAAATGATTCATATAATAAGCATATAATAATAAAAAAATATTTGCTTTAAGTTTTGTATTTTCTTTTGTACTTACTTATACTTGGCTTAGCCGTATCAACATCTGTAGAAATTATCTTTTTCTCCTTTTTTTTACCACCTTTTTTTGTCACAGTTTGCATATTGTTCTTTTTTAACGTTTTTAATTCGTGTTCCAATTCTTTAATTTTGTCTGTAAACAAAGAATAAATCTTATTTAGACAAATAATAAACAAATTTAATTTTTGTATGTATCGAACAATACATAAGAAATAACGCAGATAATAGAAATAACAGAAATAATACAATATAAAAGAGACATTTAATTTATCGCTACCTTCGAAGGATGACTTTTCTAAGTCATATTCCATAATTTTAGCCGATTGTTCTTCTTCCAGTTCCTTTATTTTACATGTTAATTGTTGTATACTCTGTTTATCTGCAGCTATATTTATGTCATAGTCACTTATCTTGTTTATTAATTTTTCATTACTTTGCTCATATTCTACAATTTTCTGAAATTTAAAAAATATTATTGTTAACGTATAAAATGTGATAACAATTAAAATAAAGAACGACTCACTTGTAAAAAAAATCTAATCAAGAATATTCACATCAATATGAACAGCCAATATGAGTAAACTAGCGTAGATGTATAAAATAAAAATATACAATTATTCATTGAGATATAATTCACATTTTCAATCTCTAGTGTCATATTATCGCCAATATTTTCTTTAAAAAAATTTAAAGAAAATAAAAGCTAATACTATAATTATGTACTATAAAAATACACACATCTATGTACTGTAAGTTTTGTAATGCACTAAAACCAACACGTATCAATAATATATAAAATATGATTTTTCAGACAAAATAAAAAAGCGTGTCAGTTAACGTGCAAAAATTAATGAATTAACTTTTCAAGCTAATTGTAATCGAAACTTGCTTATTCACACAAAGTAAATATTTACAAAAAGTTGCATTATCTACATATATCCTAAACATAATTTTGTAAATGTTATCTCTTAATAATCCAGATAGCAAAATATTAGTAATATGTCAGCAGTTATTAGTGATTCGATTATGATTTTAGAACAGATTGTTGTGATCCACTGTGTCCTCTTCTCTTTAAGTTTGCCCTTACGACTTGCCAGCCAGAATATAACAAAAATATAGTAGGAATGAAGCATACCATTATAATGTCGTAATGTAGAGCCTGCTCATTTCCTGATACATTTCTACTAATATTAAAAAATTGAGATCTACATCGGCAATTGTTACAGTTCTACTAATACAAAACAACACAATTTGCAATACATGCTATTGGCAGGTTTGACTATCTGGGAAGTTATTACTCTGTGACTTTATCTGATAAAATATACTTGATAGAACAAAGTATGTTTATCTATAAACCTGTTTTTTCTTTTTTTAATATTTATGTAGCTTATGTATCAATGTTTCATAATTTTGCACATTTCTAAATATTAGCTTGAAAAGTTAATTTCTTTTACATTTACAGATACATTTACTTAAAGAGCTATCACTAAATTATTTTATAAATACTTTAAGAGTATGCTAATAATAAATTAATCTAGAATAAAATTATTTATTTACACATTTTAACTCCCTTATCTCATCCTTGGCGGATGAATAATCGGATATCATGTGTATGGCCTCTTTCTTCGCGACTTCCAAACTTGATTTTAAATTTTCAACTTCTTTCATATTTTGAGTATACTGCTTAATTAAGACACTGAAACAGATAAAAATTCCATTAATTTTTCCATGATATTGAACATGTCAAAATTCATTTAATAAAAAATTAATCTAAAAAATATAGAAACACTTAAGAAATACTTACTCTGTCTTGATTATTTTCTGTTTCAATAACAACATTGATTCTTTCGATTTCTTTAACTTATAATCATGTTCCTGAAAAATTTTTTGTTAAATCATATCTCTCAAATGATTGAAAAATATTGACAAAAACAGAAAAGAAATATTAACTTTAGAACCATAAGCTACATTGATTAAATGATATATGTACCACTAAATATTCTTTAGCCTTTAGCTAGTTATTCATAACCTGTTCTTGGAAATACATTAAACAATATTAATTTTCTTAGACCTGATTTGCATCAATGTTAATTTGATTTTAAGAGAGACTAAGAGATTTCTCTCTTTGAAGCCAAAAGAGAGAGAGAGAGATAGAAAGTTTTAAGCTTTGCTTAAAGTCAAAGTAATGTTGGTGCAACCAGGCCTTAGAGCAAACCCAGTAAACACAATGTTACATGTAACGCACATGTAATATGAAATGTCAGCTCAACAAGAATAACTGTAATATAACAGTGTATTATATTATAGTTATCTTGTTGAGCTGACATTCAATGTTACATGTACGTTACATGTAATATTGTGTTTACGGGGAATGTTTGCATAATATTGCATTTTATTTTATGTATAGTATATACCTTGCCAAAACAAATAATAAAAAATAAAATATATAAAATA